GGTGTATAGGACGCAGGCAGATTTTGATATCAAATTTTGGGGTAAAAAAGTGCGTCTTATACATACGGTATCGCAAAGAAAGAAAGCTGTGGAGCTAATCACAAGCCAGTAGAAATATTTGTCTTGTTGTGTTCGACGAAATCCCCACCATAATCTATATAAAAGCGAAATTGTATGTTTGTCTGTCCGCTAATTCCTCGCACACTATTTGACCAATCCCCAGAAGTAACATGAAGAGGCAAAATTCCCACAAAACTAATTTTTGGCTTTTAATTCAGTTTCTATCTTCGTGTCACACTCCTTTTGGTTATACTCAACACTATATACATCGTCAAAGATGTAATACTAAATACAAACATTTATTTGCAGAAAACAAGCAGTATTTTGATTGTAAGTGTAAGTATATTGAAAATGTTAATACTAAAACATACTTAGGACTAATTATAGATGATGTTTTTAATTGATCTAAACATATAAATATGATTTGCAATAAATTAAGACCCATTATAGCGATGTTATAGAGGATACAGAATATTTTACCAATCAATATTTAAAAAAAATAATTTATGTATCTTTAGCAGAATCTGTTATACATTATGGATTGATAGTATATGGCTCAATAAGTAACATTCACTTTAAAAAAATTAATGTAATTCAAAATTCATTTTTGATGATTTAATACGAATGTTACATTAAGAGATGAAATTATAAGAAGTTAGTTATAAGATATAAATATACTTTATAAATATGTGATAATTATAAATTCTTATTATAGTCCAAATTATAAAGTACTAAAAATTATATGTATAATACTAGAACACTAGAAAATAAATAGTATGAAATTCCAAAATATAATAATAACTATGGAATAAGAGTAAGATAGTATAAAATACTATATATAATGAATCAACTTCCCAGGGATTCATGGAATATAAATACAGAGTATAAAATATCATATATAATGAACCAACTTCCCAGGGATTTATGGAACATAAATACAGAGTATAAAATATCATATATAATGAACCAACTTCCCAGGGATTTATGGAATATAAATACAGAGTATAAAATACTATATAAAATGAACCAACTTCCCAGGGATTTATAGAATATAAATAAAACTGCAGAGTTAAAACAAACTAAAAGACTAGTTATTAACTGGTGTTCATATACAAATTGAGTAATATTCATTGAATGGTAATATATTCTTATTGGATTAATTACCTCCACCACTGTAGGTAGACGGAGGTTATGTTTTCACTCGTGTGTGTTTGTGTGCGTAAACATGTTAGCAAGATTTCTAAAAACAGCTGGCTGGACTTGAGTACACATATGGATTGTGAACCAATTTAGAAGTGATAAGTTCTAGGAGGATCAAAGTCACTGCGAACCGTCTTTGACCACTAATCAAGCCATTATGTTTTAGATCACTTGGCAAACGTGCTACTCACGTTACGCTATCAAATTATATTACGCACGAGGTGCTTCCGAGCGTATTTTAAGATAAATTTCTAGTATATTATTTATTTTACCTATTCTAACCTTGGCTAACTTAAAAAGTTTCCAATTTTAGTTACTTTTATAAATTTATTTCATTGAATAATGCTCGAAAGAACACACAATCCTAATATACAAAACAATAAAATGTCCCTTAACTATCACAATTTCTGGTTTTCTAACTAAGCAACAACAGTCTTTGGAAATCCTGGAAAGCTAGTCAAAATGATTCTCAGGTGAACTGGAATCACAAAAGGGACATATCTAGGGAGAACACTTCACTATTCTCAAACTAGGTGAAATTAAAAATGTCTTTAAAGCGCTGCGTGGCGTAGGTATGCACTATACTGAATGTCCCTCTAACATTATCATTAATTACACTTTTGCATCATGTATGCACGTGATTATTTGTGACAATAGTGCAAAAACATTACGGGATATGTTTATGTGTTATAATTATTGAATTGTTAACTTCAGTTATACGTTAATATAAAATTTTGTTTATCATAGACTTCTAATACCAATTTCGCCATTTTGTCTAGTTATATTTACTGACATTTATAGAAATAAATGGTCATGGTTACAAAGAAGTATTTTACAAATAAGCTGATTAAGCTTCGTGGGAACCTCTTTATTTTTACGTTTGAATATTTCTATAATGATTGAAGGTGTTTTGTTAGTAAAAGAAAGTAATATAAAGGATATATTCTAATTAATCTTTTATTTGTATTAGTACAATTATTATTAATTATATTCTTCCTATTTTTGTTGTTAATTATATACTAATAGTCTGATATAGACCTTGTCATCTTCCCAAATTCGTGCATGGACATCTGTTTTTTCTTTCTGTTCTTGTGATTTAGGCGTTCATAAAAAAACAAGACATATCCATTTTAGTCATTGATTTCCTTAGTGAGAATCAGATATATGGTGCTATTACAAAATTAGACAAGTAAGCACATTTCCTCTCGCCACATATAAACTGTTTTGCAATTATTATTATTATTATAAACTAAAAGTGGAAGGAGTAGTGTGGTTTAACAACTTTGAAGGTCCACGTAATTTCATATTTTAAACAATCCGATATTAATACAAATGGTGTCAGTGACCGCTGTGAGGTGCACGTACTTGTGGCTGTGTCAGCTAGGGGTGGACAAGTGAAGTTAGTTTGAATAGCACTTTTATTTAAAAAACAAAAAAAGATTCTATTCCTCCCAAAAAATCCCCATCCCACCGAACATGCTCGCCCTTTCAGCGTTATAATGTGGCGTGCATTGCGTACACTATAACGAATGATCATAACGGTAACACATCACTATCTAAAACCAATAAGACTAACATAAATTGCGCCTGACCTAAAAAAAACACACGATAGAACCTGGGCCTGACAGCGATGATACCCGTCTCAGATTTCTGGTATCAAACTTGCAGCCATAGAAGTGAGCAGACTGTCAACAGCCTGGGTGGTGTCTGACAAGTAATCATTTCTGGTGTCCTGACGTCAGTTACAGCCTTCTTGATGCTTTTCTGAAGGTATTCTCAGTCTATACGGGCACATTTTCTTCCATAGAGCAACCCAAAATATTATCTTCTTTCTTTCTAAATTTCTTGAGTTCTGAGAAGACTTTATTGGGGTTAAGCTTGTAATCTTGCTAAAATTGTTTAACCACTTCCCTTTAGCATGGTATAGTCTAGAAACACCACACCCGTCAATGGAACACATGTTTTTCTGTGTTTTTTTGTTCCTCTGTCTGAAATGTTGAAGCAAATGCTTTTTCAGAAAATTACACAAAATAGATGTGTATTTTTCAATTTTGAAACCTTATCATGTATTGTATGCATTGCTATGCGTTAAAATTTGTAAGTAAATCCTAGCATGTGACGTGATATTTGAAAATTTAAAAGTACATCACAAATACGTAAATTCCAATCTCTTTAGGCCTCTGTTGTCTAACAAATATAAATTTTTCACATTTATGGACGTTGACTAGCTTGAAACAAAATGTTGACTAAATCATGAATATTTAGGTGTATTTTCTAAGTAAAGAAAAATTTACGAACTTCGTAGACGCACTAAAAGTTGCTAATTTGGATGAACAACGTAAATCGCCTATACACTAACTTTGGTCACAATTCCCTTCATTCGTTTTGTAAATAAATATATAAAATAAAGAATTAAAACAACTCATGGATAACAAATATTTATGTTCATTTGTTTTAACGCAAAACTACACGTTAGGCTATCTGCAATAGAGAATCAAGCCCCGGATTTTAGCGTTGTAATTTCGTAAGCTTATCGCTGACCCATTGGAAGATAATCACAAACAGAAGGTAGTTTTTAACTATGAAATGGAATTGGCACAACCAAACGCAACAAAAACACGGGTATCTTTATGAATATTAACTTTATTTGAAATTTATAACAACCCATATCTTATAATACAAACAATTTTTCACAATGAACATGAAAGCACACAGATATACTGTAATTTTATCAATTTGGATATTTACAGCCAGTTACATGTATATCCATTTTTTTGTTTCTAGTTAAGTATAAAGCTACACAATGGGCTAACTATGTTGTGCCCACCACGGGTATCGAAACCCGGTTTCTAGCGTTATAAACTCGCAGACTTACCGCTGTGCTACTGGGGGCTTTTCAGATAATAACATTCAGTGTACATTACATATTTGTAAATGCAAATATCATACGGAAATTATAAATGGTTAAACTGCTGATTAAAGTTACAACAATATTGTTTCATAAGCCTGGCCGATGTTTTAGGTGATAGTGTGTCTCAGTATTGCCATCATCATGGCTAATCGCTTGATAATCTCTGAATTCCTTCAATATAAACAAAGACATAAAACTATGTATAGTATAATTATTTCTGTTATTCATATTCTTGATTGTCAGCATTTATATACTTTGAAAGTCAGAAAATGGGCAGCCTGCTTATCCTCGAATTCACTGAAAGTTTAAGTGTAAATATAACATGATAAGTGACTTATATTTCTGTAGTTATATACACAATATATATATGAAATAATACTATGTGGATAAATCGGATATTTTCTCTAACTGTAGTTTATATCAATTACATATTGCCGAGATAAAAGTTGAAAACGAACTGACAGAAAACCATTACTAAACAAAAGATTAGATTCTAACGATGGCAGTTTGATAGCAGAAAAGATACGCTTGTGGTGATGAAAGATTGTGTGTGTGTATTTATTTGTAGTTAAGAAAAAAGCTGCACAATGGGCTAACTGTACTCTGCCCACCACGGGTATCGAAACCTAGTTTCTAGCGATGTAAGTCCGCAGACATATCGCTGTGATACTGGGTGGTTCTGTGGGTGTAACTGCAAACAATTTAGTTTGAAGAAAGCCATTAGATATCGAGACATTGACTTGGGTTTTCGGCAGTTAATGTTGGAACGTAGCCTGTTGTGTACAAGCGAAATCTGCAAAATTGTATGTATATTACGGTATTTATTAGCATGAATGTTTCAAGAACTACATTCCTCATGTTCAGACACCCACATAGAAATTCTTTAGTGACTCGAAAATTACCGATATGTAAAAAATAAAAACAGATCATTTAGGTGTTTTTTCATAATTGATGTAAAGATTTAGATGTAGTTAAAACAGAAAAAAATAGAAGAATCTGCAATATGAAATTCTGAAAATGCTCAAATCATGATAAAAAATTAATAAACGAAATTTGATTTCTTGTAATATTTATTATACATTGTAGTACGTTTCACAGCATTCCGAACTGTACTTCATGATAATACACATCTTACTGCAATCTTCTGTATCGTATAATTTAGCATAATTTGTTAAATATCTCTGCATTTAAATAGTTTACTAGATAGTTTTTCGTTCTGTGCCTCACTCTATACTATAGTGTTATGTAGCTTCTGTTGTTCCAAAAACGTTTGTATACGGCGTTTTTTTGTACAGTTTTATAATGTAGTTTATTATATATTTTTATTTTACAACTGAATGCTATATCACGATATTTATTATGCATTTCCAACAGTTACCAAATACATTGTAAAAACCTACACTGTACTTCACTGTACTGTACACTCTCAGACGTTTTGTGTTGCACAATTAATTCTGAATTCATAGAGTAAAAAAAAATAAATCCATGGTTGTTTAGATTTATTTGTTACAGGAGTACGACTGTCTTATACACATTTTATTTTAAAACAAAATTGTCAAAAGATGCTTCCTGCTCTGCATTTCATTCGCTTAGCTCGCTTTGAATGAACTTTTTATGAAAACTGGAGTTTCTGACTATCAGTAAAAAGGTAGGATTTCCTGCAGTAACATAGTACCTAAATAAAAAAAAATAAACAAAAAACTTTTATTATGAAGTTATATATAAAAACAAACAATTTTCATATTACTGAAATCATAGTAACAGCTATCATGAATAAGATGATTCTGATTCAGGACAAAGAACATAGACAAATATAATTTATGATATAAAAAATATTTTGAATACTATTACAATGAACAAAATATTGTATATCTATGTATATGCAGTCACTCTGACAACAGCTATAGTCTGAGTGACGTACCCATAGAATGTTTGTTTGTTATTAAACACGAAGCTACACAAAGGGCTATCTGTGCTCTGCCATCACGGGTATCGAAACTCGGTTTCTAGCAATACAAGTCCGGAGACATTTCGTTGTGCCACTGAGGGGCTATCCCTAGAAAGATAATTTCATCTCTTTATATCATCAAACATTAAATTACATTAATGTCATTCGGTTCCCTTGTAGCACTGGTTTCAAGTCACCGTATTATGGACCAAAGCATACTTAGGATGGGTATAAATTTCTAACACCGTATATACCAACGTATAATGTGCAATTTGTTTTTCCAAAATTTTTTGACTCAGATATTACATGCACACTACATTAGGGAACAATACTCTTACAGTATTTTTCACTCCGAATATTGCCTCAACATCTCTTATATTCTGATCTAATCAACGTTTGTGACTGGCGGATCACCGGAAGTAAAAACAAAGAACCGCAACGAAGAGGATAGATTGGTACCTCAGCGAATAAAACATGTATTTCCAAAAAAAAATTCCCATCTAAAAAAGCAAATAAAATGATTAACCATGTTGTGTTCTATATTTTTCCATTTCATCCGGAATTACGAGTGATCTTGCCATGTTATTTCATTCTTGTACATGTACACAGATGGCAGCATTCACACGTGCACATACAATTACTAACAAACACAACAATACACCACTCGCTACACAAAGGCCGATCAGCTGTTAGAATTGCTCTGCGCACTACACATGAGCATAGTGATTTTTCCTTGTATATGTGAGGCCAAAAAAACCAGTACGCACTATACGCGGGTATTTACGGTATTTTAATGGATGAAAAATGTTCATATCCCTCTGTCCACCTACCAACAGTATGCGACAGGTCTAAAGTCACAGGTTTCGAATTCCAGTTTGAAACCTTCCCAACAAAAAAAAAAGAAGGTTAACGTCGGTTCTCGAGGTACACTAGAGATTACGGTTTAATTAAGTGCGAACCGAATCTAAAATTAGTTTCTTTTGTTCAATTTCCCGCAAAGCCAAACTAGGACTATCGTGCTAGCTGTCCCTTAATTTTTAAGTGATAGACTAGAGGGAAGACAGCTAGTTAACACCATCCACCACCAACTCTTGTCAATATAACGGTAAGGGAACCTTGGATCCGCAGTCCGGCAAGATAACTACTGACCCGACCTGAAATTAAGAGTGCAACATGTGCATCCATACTGAAGTGATTCCATGTGTGTACATTTAGTCCATCATTATTTTATCCCATTTAAATAAAAAATTCACGAGTTTACAACATGTAGATTATATTAATGCATCAGTTGCGTATTTGGTTAAGCAACCAACTTTGAAACATGGAGGTTTTTATTTTCGTTCCTGAAATTTAGTATTTTTAAAACTAGACAATTATTGCAGCTTGCAACTTATGTGAACATTTACATCGATAGTCATTATGAAAATAGCTAAATGACACTGTACAATATCCGTCAAAAAGAACAGATCTCTGAAAAGTGTAACAGCTTACAAATGGCGGGCTGAGACTAAGGTTAATATAAGGTCGTAACTTTTACATAACCCTTAACGGCTTTGCGACCTGTTTAACTGTACAATAACAGTTATAAACGCCAAACATTTATATTTTACAACATTCCAAGAAAATGGCCTTTTAATAATTATCTTGCCTTAAAGATCGTTGCTTTCCAGTAAATTATATATTACAGTATGCTATGCTATATTCATACGAGGAATCCATGTAAATGGAGACATTTTCAACAAAAATACGCTAGGGATGTAATGAAAGTTAACAGCCGAATAATATTAATGATAAAACACTTACTGTGACGTTTACAGGTAAAACTATAACCAATATGTAGTATTTAGTGCTGCAATAAGGGAGGTTCGAGGCAAGTGGTTGTACAAAAATGAAATCGACACAAGTGGGCAGTGACGAATAAAAATATCAATACATAAAACGTTGGTGTCGTTGCACTTCACTTTTTATCAGACCCGGGCACTAGTGCAATATCTCACAATCGCAAATTGCCCATATCTAGAATTATAAACTATAGAAATCTTTGAATAATCATTGTGATATGTAACCTAGGGATGAGGTAACAATTAAAACAAGTCTACAGCTACCTACATCCCGTCTGTAAGGTCATTAACTAAATATATCTGCACTAAAATTTTGATTTACTTTTCCTGAATTCACTTGAATAGAGAGATATTCTTGTTCTAGTTATGGGATGATAAAGTTTAGTTGTTTTCAACTGCTACGCTCCACACTTCCTTACCTTAACTTTAAGGACTTCATAGGTCAGAATATTGAAAAATAACTTCAAATGGCAGAATTCAACGTAATCCTAGTTCGAATAATAATCTCCTTACAAAATTTACATAAATAGAAGCTCTCTTGAGTGACGACTAGGGCTGAGTTGAACGATTAAAATATATCCACAATTATCTGCATACCATCTATTTGGACGTTAACTATGCGCAGTATATCTGCACCAAAATTTTGAAAAAAAACAACAAAAAAAGTTCCTGAATATACCTGACTAAAAATTATTTTTTTTTCTTCTGGATATGAAATGGTAGGGGTAATACTTCCACCTTTCCTTACGTCAGGGCCTTCCCACGCTAGGGCATTAAAAATTGGCTGAATTCAAATGTTTAACCAACACAATCCTATCTTGAATAATCATCTCCTCATATAACACACACACAAAACAGATAAATTTCATTTCCAAACAGGATCCAACAACAAATTAAAATAAAACAAGCTAAAACTTAGCCCAGAAGTTGCTGTTTAAAATAAAATAAATCATTGTTCAAATTACATAACTCAAAATTAAAACTTGATTGACCTAATTCATGGTTTAAAAAATGAACTGTTATTATTAAATATGTAGTATTAGATAGAAGTTTTCACCTCATATTGTTGATAGGGCCGTAAGAAACTAGTAAAATTAAAAAATGATGATAAAAAAACAATCTATTTATCCATCTATCTATGTATTCGTTTTATCTAATTTATCAAATGTTAATTTGAGAAAATAAATAAAACGAAAATTTGTTTGTGTCCCAGGTTTATCATGTCAAAATTTTCGGAAATATAAAAAAAATAATCTTATACCGATTTTTAGAACTTGAATAAAATTAGTCAAATATTAAATAAAACTAAAAATATAATTAATGTAATGGATAAAAAGGGTATTTACAAAATTGAATGTAAATATGGTTATGTATATATTGGTCAAACTACAAGAAATTTAAAATTTAGTATAAACGAAAAAAAGAGAAATGTTAGAAATAAAAGTGAAAATTCTGAACGTGCTGAATATGCAAGTCATGTCATTCATTGCAAAAACTTATTTTGGCTCAACTGAATGATATGACAGCTAGAAATATCAGAGAATTAATAGAAATAATGAACCACACTAAAAATAATTATCATACCTAGAATAAGATGAAGGGTTGGCAAGTCAGTATGCAAGTTAAATGGTAATACTGGGTCACATGGTTAATGGCTTTGGTATCTAGGGTTTGCACTGTTTTGGTTTTACACTTCTGAAGATGATATAATTGCATGTTGAAACATCTATATTCTTAAGGAATGATAGCTTCTTAGTAAACAAAAACCTATATTCTGGGATGGGCAGAAACATTCATAAACAATTTTTTAAATGTGCTGTTTACAAACAAGACTCCCCAGAGCTGAACAAATTGTAAGTTCAAGCATATTTTTAATTTTTCTTTTTGAATTAAACTAATGTTAGGAAATAACAAAATATGAACTCTAAAATATTTTCAGTTAAAGATTGTCGAAATGGAGTTATCATTTTTACTTAATTTTACAATTTGACATATAGATGTCACTTGATATCTGAAAACTGCTCACAGGTCATGATAGGGTTAAAAGTTCTCTTCTGTGTTTACAAGACAGGATGTACCCAAACTTGAGCTTCCTGTGAGAAATATTTGAATTAACCTGAATAATGTAGATATTAATTATTGGTGGTAAGTAAAAAGAATTAGAGATTATAAAAAATATAAAGCACCAGGTCCAAACATTTTTTTCGGAAATGAAAGGAGGTCAAATATCAGGTATGTGAGCTTCTTTTCATTTTTGGTAAGTCAAAAGACAGTGAGGAGGTGTGTGAGGATTTGAGAGTTTCTGACCGTATTCTTATTTTTAAAGGGGATGATAAGAATTGCATAGAGATTATAGGTCAGTCAGTCTTACTTCTGCAGTAGAAAAAATTCTAGAGATTCCGCTAAAAGAAACTGTAAAATCTTTAGTGAAATATGATATCATAAAAGAGCCAAAATGGACTCATTAAAGTGAAATCTTGTCTAATTTATATTTCATCTTGTTTTTTTTTAATGTTTCTTATTATCTGAAAGATTTTAAAGATTTTGATACTGTGCTAAGAAAGACTAGACAATTATGCAGTAGGGTTGGTGGGTGAGAGAACACACAAAAAAAAGAGTAGTTATTAATGGAGTCCAGTAAAAATGGACTTGTGATGTGCTTCAGTGATGAGAGCTTGGGTCACTTCTTATTTATGTAAATGATATGAATAAGGACATAATTAGTAAACTAGTGAAATTTGTTGATGCCATGGAACTCATGGATATTTCTGATTATAATGAGGATGTTGAGGTACTACAGAATGACTTATATCCATTGGTAAGTTGGAGAAATAGTTAGAAAATTCCCTTTATTTACGGTAAGTGCAAGGTTATTGTTTTGGGTTGGCATAAGTTGGATCATACATTTAATTTAGATGGGAATCAACACCATGGCGTGATTCAAGAAAAGGACCTTGGCATAATGGTAGTTAAGTCAATGAAATCATCCAAGTAGTGTTCTGTTACTAGCAATAAAGCTTATAGAATTCTGAGATGTATTTATTTTTTTTATTACAAGTCAAACGAGTTAATTATTTATACAAATCACTTATTAGGTCTCTCTTGGAATACTGTGTATAGTTTTGTTCTTTTTATGTAAGAAAGGATACTGACTTATTGGAAAAAGCTCAAAGGAGGACTACTAGGATGATTATCTCATGGGGATAAGTGGATAAGATCTTTTATTTTCCCCTGAGAAAAAAATATGCAAAAGATGATCTTATTGAAGTTTACAAGATTATACCATGGGGGTGGGGTCAACAGGATAAAGGCCTCTGATTTCTTTGTAACTGCTTATATTGTATTCAGATTACTATCTAACATGGAATATCTGTAAAAATATGGAAATCATTGTTGCACACCTACAAATACTAAAATGTAAATCATTTGTTATACTCCAAACAATAATGTTTCCTAGCTCTGACTACATAAGAAGGCAATCATCAACTGAATTTATTATTTTATAAATTTTCAGATCACCAGCAAACATTATACATTTTAAATTTATTTTACAACTACCTAAGTCATTTACAAACAATAAGACAACCAAAGGTTCTAAATTAGGACCTTGAGGTACACCCAAATTTAACAATATATTTATGAGAATGATGACTTTGTAAAACAACACATTAGTTAGATTAGAAGATATCAATTTGTTAACTCTTCCACTATGGGCATCTTTTTCTGTGCATGTCACGAGGTTTTAGTGAGTTACATTCAAAATTTAATTAAAGTACTTTCTTATCAAGGTATACGAATAAGTTTGGAATAAAAACGTAACTAATAATCCAAATTTTAATAGTATATAAGTTTTACTAATTTTATAAGTTAATATTAAAAAAAAATTCCCAATTTTCCCTAGTATAAGAATTGTGACATTTTCTCTCTAGGCATCCCCTCTTCTCTAATTTATTTTACACTACTCAAAGAAGTATGAAATTTAATGTCAATTACTCATTATAATGTTGTCATCACTCAGGCACAGCATAATTTTCATAGCCATCACACGTATTTAGTTACAGAGCTATCAAATAGAAAATCAGATCCCTCTTGCTATGCTCATCTGTCACATCCCCTCTTTCAGAAATTTCCAATAGTTCTCTCGGTCATTTAATACTATATTATTTATAAACAATAAAAAACATTATTTAATTAAGTAAAAAATTATTTAGTGCAGTAGTGCCATTAGTATAAAAAAGTAAGGTTAATTGTCATTGACAATCAACAGCAAAAAAACCAGAAGACTCGGGTAAATACTTTATTTCTTGTTTATTACGTGTATTCTTTACTTATTATTATCAAAGTAACTAAATTGGAAAAATTAGAAGCTTTTTTTAGGTTAGATTAGGTAAAATAAATAATAATAATAATTTTACCATGAGGTACGCTATCGAGCAACTAGGGAATAGCTCATGCATTATGTGATTTGATAGAGTAACGTAAGCTGCACATTCAAATTTTGTGGTGGGAATATCAGTTATTTATGGTTCAAAGGGCAATGAAACAATAAAAATTAAGTATAAACTGATATATACTGTTACGAGTTTAAAGCTATTTTGGATAAACAAATGTAGTTTCATGTTACAATTTAAAGTCATCCTGGATAGAAAAAAAGGGTAATTTAAATTAATTTCAATTTTTTTTTCTGGTGGTTACAAGGTCAGTCAAATTGACAAACCTTGTATAAAGTTAGGGTAGAGAAAATAAAAAGTTTTACTGAAAAAAAAAAGTTTCAAATTTATTTAGGACATTTTAGAGATTATGCAAATGAAATTTGAGATTCAGATTAAAGTATTTTTGATCTTAACATGAAAATCACTTTGCACTCAGAGCAGTCAACACTATGACTCCTTGTCTTCATGGAGAAATTCTTAATGAAAATACTTCTGATTTTTTTTGTCTACAAATGACTCTTAATAATTAGTGAAAGCTTGTGAAATTTTGTGAAGATACAGAAAACATATTAGAAGTTGTAGTACGGAAACTATAAAGATCACAAATTTGGTTGATTTGACAGCGTCTGTAGCAAGAGGGTTAACAGAATATTATAATTCACTTCACATCCTTCATTAAAAATAAGTGAAACATTGTGTAAACTTTGAGACTTGTTAAAGAAATATCCTTGTTCAAATAAACATTGTGTACAATTTGAGACTTATTAGATAATCTCCTTGGCATAAGCTTATGTTGAAATTTTTAAATAAACTGACAGACATTACTAAAACATATGATTGCATAATACTTACTCATTGAAAGATAATGACAATACTGAAATTGGCCTATATATCTTTTTTTACCTAATTTATAAATTGGCAAATCTTTAGTAGTTTTCCACATATAAGGAAATATATTGTTAGAAGTTGAATAAGTTGAAAATCCCACAAGGTTTTAACAGTATTTCAGAACAAGCTTTGAATAAGTATGGGTGAATACTGTCAGGACCTGATGAACTTTTCAGTTTAAATGATCTAATTGCAAATTAAATTCATTGAGAGTAATGCTGGTAATACTTAAGTCTAACTGTCAATTTACAGCACGATTAAACTACAATAGCCTTACATTGTTAAATTATGATTTGGATCCTGTATATATATATATATATATAATCAGAATGCTTTAGTATCCTCTAAAACGTTATTTTTTACAAATTGAATATGATGTAAATATGCTAAATTTATGTCTTGTTTAAATTTCTTACACAGAAACTTAAAGGCTTCATTATCATGACTTGTATCTTTAGTAAAACTAGACATGTTTTACTTTTTTTCTGTGACACACTTTCCTTTTTATATCATAGGTTATGTAAAACATTGAGGATATTTAATCTTTATATAATACACCTTTTTCTAGTGATACTAATATCCAAGCATTATTTACCTTTCCATAAAATCATTCTACAGCTACATTAAATGATACATGCAATTACAATTAGGTTTTTGAAAACCAAAAGTATACTCTAAACAAATATTTGGGCATAATTTAGTAACTAAAGTTAAAATATATATACATGTACATTTAATGATGGTCACAAAAATATTTTGGTAATAAAAGATGACTACCTTTTCCTAATGTTACTTCTTCAATATTTAATAAAACTAAACCTAGTGTTCTGTTCTTTTGTTTAAGTGTCTGGTTAAATTATATAAAAAAACAAACAAAAAAAACGTATAATTTTCAAGAAATATGATAAAACTTCAAATTTTATGAAAAGAAAAGATATTAAAGTATTTTGGAAGATTTCAACAAATTCTAATAGAATTGTTATTACCCAATAGTAAAATAAGACATACAGTATGAGCAGTTTCAAATTTTTTTAAAGTATAGTTGTCCAATTTTTTGTTAATTGACATAAAAAACTGCTCAACATTTCAAAAGCTAGAAAAACACATTTTAAAACTGATTTCCACCATGCTTTTTAAGTATAATGGATATGGAATTCAATACATACCAATGCTGTAAGAAATTTTGAGGCTAATTCCACATGTTTATTAAGTAACATATGAAAAATAAATAACAAAAATTGGCAAAAATTTAGATTTGAACTCCAAGATGTTAAACATATCTCTTAACATGAATATAAGAGTTGTGTTCAGAGATAAAGCATTAACTTGAAAAACAAATATCGTAGGCTATGTAATTTGTTATTGCTAAACAGTATGAAGCAGAATTTTTTTTCAACAGTGTATAATCTTTATTACTTATTGCAAAGTACCTCTGGCCAATGTGCATATGATTACAATGAATCTAATATACAATTACATACCTTGGATCAGACAAAACTTGTCTTAAAGTATGAGAAGTATCAACTTTACAATGAGTGGATTTTTTGATATCTTCAAAATAAATCTGAAAAACAAAAAAATTAGTTTTAAGCAAATTAAATAATTCCAGCAGATTCAAACACATGCGCCATTTATGAAAATACACCTGTAGAAAGTAAAAAGCTAATGAAAACAAAAAATTAATGAGCTCAAGGAAGATTAGCCTGAGGAAAATCATTGCAACCATATTATCCAAGAAAGTATATTTGTAGAAATGCAACAGATTACTAGATTTTAAACTTTGCCATACAAGAAAGTATATTTTGGAAATCCCGGATTACACAGTGTGTCTTAACAAAATATGCCTTGTTACATATTGAGAATTTAGAATAGTCCGAAGCCAATATTTTAATTAATTTATGCTATTTGCCAACAAGATACACACACACCGTCTTCATTTTTCACACAAATACATTTTAATACATATACCACAGTACAATTTACAACAACAATTATTTCGAATAATTACCACAAGCAAAGTTTTATAAAACAAAAATTTCACTAACTTACAAACAACCTAAAATCTTCTTTCAAGTTCAGAGTCTCCTTGATATTCAGCGAGTTAACTTGAATTCAATATATGTACAATTGCCGAGATGCTAGCTAGCTTTGTCAGACACTGAATTATTGAACGAACTGTTGAAGTATGATAATATTTTAATAAAACCACTAATGTCTGATGAGAATCCAGTAATATTTTCAGAAAGATATTAATGTCCGATGAGAATCCACTGATGTTCGAAATTTATAACTGTTCCCGGTCAAATATTGTAAAATTTTTGGTTGATAAGGTTTAGTGATTTATAGCATACACGGTTATAGCAGGTTCCTAGCCAACTTTTTAAGCTCTCTCTCTTGGCGCCTTGCCTTGGCTGTTTTTATAGGCACGAGAAAGATTTTCAAGAAAATCCCAACAACAATACTGAGCTATATTTAACCGGTTATGGAAGTAGATATATTGTCGATTCTTATATTCATGAATATTCTACAACCTTGGAGAATTGGCAGGGGTTTCGCCATATGTAACTAACACTGTAAGCTAGGTACGTCTTTGAATATAAACTCAATCCAAACAAACGTTGTCATTAAAATAAATATATAACAAATTTGTTACATGCAGTACATAACTGACACTATAAGTTACACATATTTTTAAATACAAACTTAATCTAAACAACGTTCATATTAAAAATAAATGCATGACAACAAATTCGTTACAGCCTGCAGGTAACTAACTGATTCAAGTCAAAAAATTATCTTTGTGGTTGCCACAATGTAAAGTTGTAATTAGCATAATAAAACAAACCAGTGTTATACAGCTACTGTACATCTTCCAAAATACTGAAGAATAAACATATTCTCAAGGTTTGAATTTTCATTCTTTTGTTATTAATTTATCAAAGAATTGTTAGTTTGAAGTACTTGAAGATTACTATTAGTTAAGTTATAATTTAACAAAAATAAAACTATTGTACTTGTCATAAAACATAAGTATTAGGCCTATAATATTTTTCACTCTACATTCTTTATCTAGTCATAGTAAGTTAGATGGAATTACATCTTGTGTTCAGATAGTTAGCAATAATGATGTCAATAACACATTGATCACTGTTGTAGTTTTTATCTGTCAATCAAGAGACTCTTTTATGAGCATATTACTAGTGACTGTGACATGGTGATACACTGGACAGCATTTAAGATTCTATTAAATGAATGTGGTAAATGTCGTTCCATTGGACTGACTGTATTGGAGAAGAAATCTTGACTATAATGCCAAATATACTATGTGTATCTACACAAAATCAGATGTGCTACAAATGTATTTGTATTACAGATATGTTTGTGAACTACTGACATCAGTTTGACTCTGACAAGTTGGCGGTAAGGCAATGTTCATGTGTAAAATAAAAATACTTTTTGTCCATCATACAGTTTGCATATTATATTTGCATAACAACATAATAATATCATGATGAATAGCACTTTATAAAATGTCTTTGCACCTGTGCATATAGGGTTAAAGGGTAATAATAATAATAAAAGTCTGTGCATAAAATCTCTCATTATCAATAGACTAAGGCCACAACTTAAAGATACAGTCTCTGCAATCAATATTTTATTGAAATCAATATGTGTGAAGGTTACTTAGACTTTCACACTAATCAGCATGACAATAGCCTGTACTTAATTTTAGTTTATAAATACAGCAAGTTAAATGTTATTAATTTGTTTATCAAATTCGTTACCCAAAAAGTTCATAACCCAGAATCATTTTGACACTTTACACTACATAAAGTGACTGTTAAGAGTTTGTTGGACATTCATCAGTATTACAATGTCCAAGCTTAGTTCTAATTATTTAAGTTTACTTGTCAGTAGCTCATCCAACACAGAAGGAGACAACTGTAGCTAGTAGGCTATCAAATAATTAACAAAAAACAGATGACTAAGAAAACAGAGGCACATGACAAATGTGGACACATTCAAAATATCTGACCTCGATATCTGAAGGCAAGTACTTTTTCTCTACATCCCATGGTGGATGGACATCACTGGATCCAAACATCACCTCTAGATGATCAGCAAACCTGAGAGATGGTGATTCTCTATGTAATAACACATCATGATAATTGATGTCTTTTAAAACCATAAAAAGTCTTCAGAAATAATGGTTATGAAAAGGGTCTATTTTCATTCAACATAAAATAGACACACATGTATATTGATAAATGTTTAAGAGTACATAGTTCACCAATAATACATGTTTTAATATTATAAATTAAATCAACATAATGTACCTAATAATCATTTCAAAATAAGTCAGCAGCATAACCATTATGTATGATCAAAAAATTGGGAAAGTAGAAAAAAAGAAACTACATTAATTACATAGGCAGCAAACAACTCTATTCTCAAAAGTTTCTGATGTTGTTAAATGTTTATGTTTTAAGAGTTGAGACCTGAAACAACTAATTTCATTAGAAAACTTCTTTACTGCACAAGATCGTGTGCCACCTTACAATTTTTATAAATAAAAAGCTATACAACTATTAACATTAATGTTAATTATTAATTATGAGGATCATCTATTCAATAATATGAACACTTTTAAGTTTCTCTAAGTAATGGACAAAAGCAAGTTTCTCCCTAATTCTTCAGATTTTCAGTGTATGGTTCAAACAAATCATGCATGTTATTTCAGCTAATTCAAGTTAGAAAGATTTAAAATACTATTAGGAATACATTATACAACAATTTATTAGAATCTCATAATTAGGACAGCACAAATGTTTAGGGAAGAGTCATAACTAAGAGAATACAACATCTTGAATTTTATCACAGACTTTCAGCATCTAGCAATGACTATACTGTAGTGTCACAAAGAAGTATGAAACATATCTTCTGCTTAGATTAGTGAAAAAATACAAACATCTTCCAAAATAATAAAATGCTTAGAAGTGACTAGATAATATTATTAGATCTGAAATGTGTCACATCAAGAGTACACTTGTACAAGGCATTAGAAAAGTAGGGTCAAGGTAAAAGTTAACTAGCTAGAAAAACATTCATCTATCTTATAGTTTTGTTTAGAGCAACATAGATCTGTAAATTATTTCAAATGACAGTTTAATAAACACTTTTACTAGCTACAAGTTAAAAAGTACTTTTAAATCAACACTGTGAAAATGCACCAGAACACATTGATTAGTGAAAAATAGTCAGCATCTTATTAACCTAAGGTTTTTCAGTGAAGGATATGCTGACAGAGTAACCACTGAGAAAGTTTATGATGAAAGGAAACCAAAATAACTTGGATTTTGATATTTTATATGATGATGGGATAAGTGGATGGCAGATTATCAAGGATGTTGTTCATGTGTACTAGGAACAGTATTGTATATCTACCAGATGTTCTAAAGAGTTCCATGGAAAATTCCGATGGTTGGATATGCACAAGCAGAATTGATTAAGTCAAGATTTGTCAGTGTTAATAAGTAATGATTACATTAAAGAACTAAAACACAAGAGATGTTTTGAAACCAAGGTAGTCAGAAAGCTGAAGTTATATAGTTAGTTACCTGCTGGGTTAGCAGTGAAGTTAAGAAACCTTGTGCCTGCATCTAGCCTGAACTAGTATAGCTCTTAAATATGAATCAATGCTCAGTTCAACTGTAAGTTATCTTTTTGTAGTCTCATAAGATTTTCCATTAAGATAGGAAGTAAGAAAAAACAATGATTAGATTAATGAGGTTAGGTTTTGAAAGATAAATTCTATATTTGCAAAGCTGCCCAAAGACATGTATTAAATCAATATACATTTTCCCTTACTTCAGTAAATTGGTATATTTCTGAATTCGTGTTGTTAATGCAGTGAATAAAATTCTTCCATTTTTCCTCTAAACTTTGAGTTGTAAATTAACAACCGCAATTCCTGGTGTTCTAAACAAATACTATTTGTTACTCAGCATTAAAGCAATCTGTTACAGGTTTTAAAATAATTAAAATGCTGGTAACTACATGTTTATGTTAACTTTTATTTGAACGTTACACATTTTATGACATTTTTAATTAATAGTCTTCATAAAAAGTAACTCTCATTAACAGGAGCCAACTGTCTGCAGAAATAAATATAATCAACATTAGACATTTCATCATGTTCACATGTATCAACTGCACCAATGTTTGTCTTATTTGCATAAGACATTCAACCTTGCACTTAAAGACAAGCACATTATCATGAAGAATGTATTATCCTTGCTACATGAATCAATATACCTAGAAAATAATGTAAAAATAACTTAAAATGCATATGGAAAAAGAGAGCTTAACAGTTTTCAAAGAAAACAATTCCCAATAAACCTACTACAAATTTCATACATTTAGTTGGTTCACGAGGAGTCACTTCAATGAGTTTTTACTTTTGGTGTATTTATTCAAATTTAGTGTTTCATAAACTGTTAAAATTGTATAATAAACAAAATTATGCAACTAAATTAAAAAGAGAGAGTTGTCGATTGAATATTTTACGTACAACAATAACAAATACATTGTAGTACTTACATGAGACATATATTTGTTGTTTGTTTTAGGTGTAACAGACTGAAAGGGGCTGTTTTTTATGTATAGGGCAATATCTTTGTACAGTAAAAACAAAACAAAGAAAAGCTAAGTAGAATTTTTTTGAAAACATAAAATAGTATTCTGATTCATAAATTTTTAACCAAAACTAAAATTATTTCACAAAAAAACACACAAAATTATATGTTTTTATAATATACTTTAAATTTCAAATGACCATTTAAAAATTTAAGTTTATTGTATTAGCATTATGTATGCATATGTATTCTGATACATATTTTTAATTTGGAGATGTCTCCATCTGGCTTTATTTCACTTTTAGTACCTGCTGTCCTCATGAAATGCTTCTATAAAGTCACTTTCACCATATTCAGGATAAAGGAATAAAACAGGCCACAGGAGAGCACCATTTTCATCTTGGTGCACTTTTGATGATGCAGCAGCTGGATGGACAGGTTGCAAGAATGACAAAGTCTCAACACTGCAGGTCTTTGTGCTGCCAAATTTCGTGAATAACTTAATCCCTCTTTCCTTAATAAAAACAAACAAACAGACAAAAAAAACATTTTTTATACATAAAAATCTAAAGTACACATTATTCTATAACAGATATCAAACTTTTATTCATCACATATCTGAAGACAATCTTAACTATATTACCTGCATATAATTATTATTTGAAGGCTTCATACAACTGTTTGAGTGAAAAAAAAATTGAGTGTACATGTAAACTTATACATTTCAGTTCTTATCTGTTGACACATTATGAAAACTTATGTTGTTTGGATAGGCTTAGAAATCTGAAACTTCAGGTAATTTACAATTTCTCTGACTGAATATCTACAAACACAATGTTATGATAGTGGAAGTCATGTGATGCTATTAACACGTCATGAGATTCCAGAAGGATCATGTCTGTTCTTGGCAACTCTAGTCTTTTCTATGCGCCCTCTATTTTTGTATATATATAAGCCGGCAAATGAAGTGACAAGAATAATTGCAGATTGAAGAGACAGAAACAAATAATCGAGTCAAGTCATAAGTAAAGTGCATGAATCGTTGTGAATTATAGCATATGTTGAAGTTAAAGTGACTGCGG